TTCAGTTCTAAGCCTTAAAATGACTTTTCCCCTACAATAGTATCACTCTTTCTCTCTCTCCTGCATTTACTTGCCATTTATAAGCTCCAGTGCCTCATCTTTGGTCCGCGTGATCTTTTCCTGCCTCCACGATGAGGGTCTTCTGGACTGGTTGTGTTTCACCAAGAGATGTGAACATCGCACTTTGGTGGGCTCCCCTTGGCCATTCTTTCCGCTGCCGCTGGGACGTTCCCACTGGCTGGCATTTGTGATGTGGTTGAAGTAATAAACGCGGCCTGCAGACAGAAAGAGAGCGTCAGGGTTATAAAAAGCTCCTGTCAGACCCCTAGAACTAGCTTCTTTCAAGGCCCACTAGACAGATAAGACCAGATTTCTGCAAGTAGGTGAGACTGTGGTCGGCCGCGTTCAGATTATCAATGCCAGCGCAGTAAAAACATGGTATCGCACACAGTAGTTTATAGCTCTGTATACATCATTTCCTACACAAATGGAAACACGAGTTTAGTCAAAGCAACAGCTCTGCGCAGAAGCAGACTCCAGCAGCTCTTCCAATTTAGGGCAAGTCATGAAGCTCCCATAGATCAGGGCCAAAAGCACCCACTGCTCCAGTCAGAACAACAAACGTTCCCACACAACACCCTGCTGTTGCGGCCAGGGTTAGACCACAAGTTCGCCTATGTGAAGTGTTGATTATTCTTAAGAAAGCAAGGAGCGCAGTCAGCTCCCAGTCACGCGATGGCAACACATCCTCTAAGGAGACACGCGGTAACACGGTGGAACCCTGCCCTTTTGCCCCTGCGCAGCTAGGGATCGGTGCTAGGTCTCTGGTGTGCGGATATAAGGTTGTATTTCACTCTAGCACTATCTGCAATGGTGAAACAAGGTAAAGCCTCTCGGTTAAGTGCATCATTTAGCACAGGCTGCAGCAAATGCAATAAATTACCCTTACCAAAGGTCCTGTCTTTGTATTGCTCAGAAAAGCCCAATTCCAAAATCACTTTTTGTTTCTACCAGAAAACAAGACCTCCCCACACAAAACGCTCATGCCTTCCCCCTCATAGCAGAAAGTAAAGTTCTGATTAAATCATCTATGAAAACACCACGTTCAGCACTAAAACAAAGCCAGTTAATACTGTCATCCAGTGACAGGGATGCACCACTTGCTTAAAGGCCTTCCAGTGTTGGCTCAGAGCTACATGTTCATTTATCTGCAATAATTCACAACTGTAATCAAGATGATTTCCAACTTCTATTGCAGCATTCATCTTAAAGCATTCCAGTGAAACCAGAGCCACAGAAGACTCACAAAAAAAGCCCATTCTGCCAGGAAATCGAGGGAGGGGGAATGCAACAGCAGTGGTTAACTTACTATGCAGTAGGAAGTCATGCTGTAGTGACAAAGGGCCCAATTCCCCGGTTGCAATCCCAACCAGTGCCATACAGTCATCCGTGTTTCTCCCTCCAGGAGGCCACTAACAACCCAGACTTGACAACTCCACACAATCACAAAGCTCCCTATCGCCAGGGCACTTCAACCATCGCAGTTTTAACAAAGAAGGCTTCACACAGACACCTCTTCCCTTTCCACGCTTTGCCTCCCTGGACTCATCTCCCCCACAATCAAGCATGAGAACACAGCATCCTAAAAACTGCTTTTGAGCCATTAGGTCCCATAACATGGAAAGCTCTAACTAGAAAGGACAAAAACTCTGCTGAAAACGCCATCCTGACCAAGGACTTCTGCTCTCGAGCTACAAAGTCACAGCAGCCACACTGAAGGCAAGACATCCTGCATGTTCCAATGGGGGCTCTCAGACAAGGGTCTCGCTGGGCTCAATCCCCCCATCCCCAGGCCTCCCCGCCAGTTACACAGGGACGGAGCAGCTGCCAGCACCACCCTCCCCCCAGGGGTGCAGGGCCAGCACATCCCTCACCCCAACCCAGCTCCCAGAAATCACGCTCCATCTCCCCTTGTAGATCAACATCCCACTGGACATAGGAGCTGCCCCTCACCCCCAAAAGCCCAAACCCTCCCCCCAGGTCAGGCACCATCTTAGTCAAAGCAGCCCCAGAGTCAGGCACCCTTCAGGACCCCCCCCCAAAAGCCTGAA